GAACAACTCTATCCTCTTTTCATATTCTCGTTTATCTTCGTCGCGATCAACCATGGAAGCTCGCTGACATTGTCAAGCTGAAACAAACTGTTGGTTACATTGCACGAGGAAAGTCTCTGTATCACTTACGAAGTAATCCGTGTACTCCTTGAGAGTATCTCTGTTGCCTACTCCGGTTAGAACACCAACACTGGCTCGCAAACCAGCCACGCGTCCCATTTTTAGGTCAGCTACTGTGTCGCCAACCATTATTGCTTGCTGAAAATTGTTTTGCTAAAGGAACAAGAAAAAGGAAGGACTACTTTTTCTACTTATGCAATGCTATTTTACAAATAAGAAATTCGATTGCGTAAAAATCAACGCATACTTCTCCAAAAACAATGACTTCTCAAATCAAAGATTCATGGGTTATCAAAAAACTTGAAGCAAAGATTGCCAGCCTCTAATGTCACTGTACAACATCTTTATTTTTGTCAAAGCTTTCTTTTCATAAGTATTAAGAACAAGTTTTTGTGATTAACGCCTTTCAAAAACTCAAGGGCGATAAACAAAAATTGTTTTGGTTTAGAATAAACCTCATCAACGTTGGCATATTCATCTAATTGATATGAGGTTTAGTTTACTGATCACTTCTACAGCACTTGAATTGATTTTGAGCTGATTTTAAGGACCGCAGATAGGGGACTATGTGATAAAGATAAGGCATGGGTCTTTGTAACCTGCTCCAGGTAAGCCATCGTCATTCTATTTGTTGCCGAGCATTATCTTTCTGAGGGAACAGTTTCCCTCTTCTCCAAAAATGGGTATTATTTTCTTGTGCAGCTTAACTCCAAAGCTGTTCGCAACTGTTATCGTTTAGTTTGTTGAAACGTACAAGCCATTTTGCAGTTTGACTAAAACTGAAACAAACTGCGTTGCTAATGCGATAGACCAACAGAAAAAGTTTGAATCTTTGAATCTGCGCTTGCTTCGGTTATTACTGTGGTGGTACAAGTCACTATTTCTGAGAAAGGAACTTCGGACATAGTTTTTGCGAACACTCCGCTCCCATTGCCAGCCAGGTGAAGCT